GTTTTAAGCATTTGTTTTTCCTTCTACTTATAATTGGGCATAGCATATTCTTTAAAGTATGAGAAAAGCACTCTTTGGAATCTTGTGATACTTTTGGACTTAGCACTTTACTGTCTGCCTATAGGAGCCACTGACTTATCAAAAGTTTAAAAACTTGTTTACAATTTATTTTTTATTAAAACAAAACTTACCAATCTGGATTTATGTTTTTTAAAAAACAAATTACCTTAATTTTTTTTTTTTTTGCAAAAATAATGTCTTTAAATGCCTATATTTCCTAAAGCTTAAAAAAGCAAACTTGATCTCTCAACCTCCTTCCAATGAAGACACTGGCCAGAGGCCACCAACCCTCGCCCCTGCCTAGAGTCTAGCATACATAGTACGGCCACTCAAAGCATTGCATTATTATTTTATAAGGTAATAGAGGTTTATAGTGTTATATCCTAGTTTAAGGATAGATTGTTTATTTCCATTATTTATTTGCTGCTGAGTCTGGTCAGAAACACAACCCTCTGGTCCCCTCAGAGAGCTTTTGGGGAAAGGCAGGGGCTCCCTGCTTTACTGCTCTGGTTTCAACACTTACTCCTGGTGCACCAAGTTCTTTTGCAATAATTGTGAAATCTCAGGGCAGCAACATTTGGAGAGGTTCAAATGTCAACATTTGGAAAAAGGGACACGAAGTGCACCCCAGGTGAGTGACTATCCCAGACTCGGGGCTCGGAACAAGCAGGGCTGGGCACCAGGAGGCCTGAGTTCCTTCCGGGTCTCCGGACTCCACCTGGTGCAGGGCCATGGCACTGAGGCTTGCAGGGGTGACGTCAGGCTGACAAGGAGTAACTGATTCTTCATGAGGTGACATGAGGTACTGTCACTATGACAACTTCTCTAAACCTTAGTGCTTTCCCAATGAAGGGGCAGCACTGGACAATTTCCTAATTTTCTTTCCACTTGAACAGTTTTGATGCTGTGGTTCTTCCTGATCTCTATTTTTCTATTACTCCTTCGTACTTAGCAACTCGATTTCCCCCCAGCTAATTTCAAAAGGTTCTATTACACTTAACTTGATAATTCTAAGAAACTTTGTTCGTATTATAAAAGTATGGTGGAGAACTCAGACATGCACTCTCACATTCCATCGTATTTTAACCCACTCACACGTGGTTTGGGAGGTTTATTAGGGATGTTTTTTATCTTTTAACTCATCATTAGGGTAGTGGAGTCTAAAGCAGAGACCTGATCTGAGCGATCCAGTTTCTACTTCTCTTCCAAAAGCTCTTCTACTGGCTGAAACATGGCAGGCCAGTGGGTGACACACATCTGCTGGGTTCCCTGGGCTGAGACCAGGGCTGTCCAGAGGAGCAACACACACTGGAAAGCCACTCTGCTGCACTAGGACAGCATTGGGGGCTGAGACAGGGAAACTCTGAGATCAGGCACCAGCCCCATCCCCCAGCTTGCCAGCAGACAGCGCAGTGACCTTTCAGAGCCTGTTTCCTACTGGCCAGAGTGGGCGTGAAGATCAAAGGAGACAATGTCACATACAGGTAAAAGAAAAAAAAATCATGTCAGCTGGGGGTGGTGGCTCATGCCTGTAATCCCACTTCATTGGGAGGTCAATGCAGGAGGATCACTTGAGGCCAGGAGTTGAGAGCAGCCTGGGCAACAGAGCAAGATCCCGTCCCTACAAAAAATTTTAAAAATTAGCTGGGCGTGGTGGTGCACAACTTTAGTCCTAGCTTCTCAGGAGGCTGAGGCAGGAGGATTGCCTGCACCCAGGAGTTCAAGGCTGCAGTGAGTTATGATCATGCCACTGCACTCCAGCCTGGGTGACAGAGTAAGACCCTGACTCTAAAAATCAAAAATAAAAAAACATGTCAAAGTGAATAAAATGACGTAGTTGAATACTGACTTTTAATTTTGTAAATGTCCCTGATATTTTTGACACATTAGTTTTAAAACTGACATGCAAATCAAGCATTGTAAAAAGCACATTATTTTCATGGAAATCGGATCTTTTAGTAGACCTACTTTTCAATGTAACATAGAATTACAGCAAACAGAATGCTGGGTTGATCTGAAGTCAGCATATGCAAGTGACCAGCGATGGTTTCAGAGTTAGTTATTGACTAAGTCCCAGTTTGGATTTCTTCTTAAAACCTCATATAACCTACTTTATTTGAAACCAAACTTAGCCCTATAGATAAGTAGTGCCTATGTAATTTACCGAAGGTGGGGAAGCTACTTCCATCCCTAAATCCCCATTGCCTACCTCCTTCAACATTAGTTATAGCTTAAGATGCAGGTATTTCTGGGGGGAGGCAATGCATTAGTAAAATTCACATAAATGCATAAACACCCTCATTTCCTAGCGATGTGTACATGTTTAGCTTTTAATATCAACTTTACTGAGGTATAATTTACAAACAACGGAACGTACAAAGTCTGATGATTTTGATGAACTCAGGTAGTGACATCTCAACCAAAATATAGAATGTTTTCATCATCCCAAAAGGTTCACTCATGTCCCTTTGCATTTAATTATCACCCCATCCCTAGACAACCATCCATGAGAAAACTGAAGACAAAGTAGAGCTGGCTCTTTTGAAAACTATACAAATTAAAGGGACCGTGAAAATAAGCACGTTCCCATGGATAGGCCTTGAGACTGCACAGAAATGGATGTTTACTAAAGTGGAGTCAGACAGTAGGCATTTATCACTTTCTGATCTTCACCCTTTTTTCTTTTTTGTAACGTAGCAAGGATTCATTCTTGGGGATACTGAGAGAATACAGGCTGCAGACTAATGTATGGGGAGAAGAGCAGTAAGTGCAAGCAGTGATGCCAGGGGATTGATGCCCTGGGTTTATAGCACGCTGCCCCCCCCCCACGTGCACACATGTACACATACACGTACACACATGAGCACATGTACACATAAACACACATACAAACACACTTTAATTTTATTTCTTTCTTTTTCAAGCCCATACTTGCCAGGCTATATTTAGTCTATTGCACCTCTTAAAATAGTCAACATGGAATAAAACCTGAAAACAAAAAGCAGATCTGCTTCAGAGAGTGGGCAGAGGTCAGACCCAGGAGCAGAGTTAAAAAGAGTAAACTATGCAGAGTTGGGCCAAGAGGTGACTCAGAGGGAAGGAGATAAGATCTGCCCACAAATACCTAGAGGTGTAAACAACAAGGAAAGCACAAACCAAACCAGCCAACAACAAAGGCTGACCAGGAATTCACTGTGTATTAAGGAAAGGAAATGAATCGTGAGGCAGGAGCCTTCCCCACTCTGGGGCTCTCTGAGTGGGAGCACAGCCCTGCCGCCTCTGTGCCGCCGGCCCTCCCCTCTGCCTGCCTCCCCCTCCTCCTCCTACCCAGTCCTGGGTTCTCCCTCCCACCTTCAGAGCCACTAGTGTGGCTCTGGTGTTACCTGGACCACCTCTCATCAGGACGCCTAGTTCTACCTCTCTCTGCTTTTGCTTCATTGCCATGGAAGTGCATGCAAAACACATGGACATGTCCCTCTCTGGCTCCAAACCCTGCCAGATACAGTATACATCACCTTTGTTTTGGTCCTTGAGGCCTTCGACAACTGGGCCCCTAACTCCCTAACTCCCTTCCGTCCTTACCAACAGCCTCAGTCTCGAATCCTTCTGCTCAAGGACACTGGTCTTTCTAAACTCTGCCCACACGGCATTTTGTTCCTTGCTACCTCCTTCCAATCAGATCCAATTTTAGCTCAGGAATTTATGGAGAGTCTTCAGTTTATAATGCAGGGGATTAAAACATTTTTTAAAGTGTAGACTGTGCCTTCAGGAAGCTCATAACCCAGCAGAGGAGACATTCCTAAACAGTTAAACTGTGGTACATTAATTATCTTTTTTATACTATAATATTTAGAACACTGGTGAAATGAAAACATTACTATGAAATGTAAAGAGGGCGAAATTAATTTTTCTAGAAGGTCTGGGGAATGCTTCCCAGAAAAGCTTATTCCTTAGATAATTAGGAAAGAGGTGTGTGTATACTTGTAGTGTGTGTTGAGTGTGACTACGTGTGTTTGATATGTGTGTTGTGTGTCTGTGGTATGTATGTGCGGTATGTGTTGAGTGTATATATAAGTGTGTGTTGTGTTTGTGTGTATTGTGTGTATATGTGTGGCGTGCATGTATGTGTTGAGCACATGTACATGTATGGTGTGTTTGTGTGCTGAGTGTATGTGTATGTATGGTGTGTGCAGTGAGTGTTTTGTGTATATGTGTGCTTGTGTGGTGTGTGTGGTATGTATATGTTCTGTATATGGTGTGTACTGAGTGCATGTCTGGGGTGTGTGTGTTGGATGTATGTGTGTGGCGTGTGCTGAGTGTATGTGTGGTGTGTGTGTTCAATGTGATGCAGGACAGGCAGGGGACACCGTGCTCAGGATGGCGGGCCTGGCAGCAGGGAGATGGGCATGGAGGCAAGCGGTCCTGCGCAGGCAGCTGGCATTGGGCGGGAAGAGGAAGGAGGTGGAGGCAGCTGGGGGAAAAGGTGAGGAAAGCAAGTCTAGGGAGGGGTCTTGAATGCCTTGCCCAGGAATTTGAACTTGAACTTGCAGACAAGGGAAAATCACTAGAAATTTAGAAACAAAGTATAACCGGATGAGATCTGTTTTCCAAAGATACTTTACAAAGATAGGGGGAGCTGGGAGGGTGGAAGTGGCAAGAAGAAGCCTCTGCAAAGTGCAGCTGCCGGGTGCTCTGCAGCGCCCAGGCCTACAGACGGATGTCAGACAACGGTCTCCAGTCTGGTGGCTGCACACTTGGCTCTCATGCCCTGGGCTCCTGGGCCTCCCTCCTTCAGGGGTTACCTTCTGCTCTGTCTCTGCATGGTGCATTTATTACACAACTACAAACTATGTGTCACACTGTGCCAAGCACCGAGCTCTCCTTTCCCAGGTGAGATGTCTGTCTGGTGGTTTTGGGCAAAGTCTCATCAATGCACTCACACCTGGGAGGAGCCTGCAGCTGTCAAAGGAGCTGCAGGTGTCTGGAGGCACAGCTTCCACCTGCAGCCTGCAGCATTTCTTGAATTGTCTCTGTATCTCTTGCATTGCTTGCTTATCTAAACAATGTTAAAAAAAAAACAAAAACAAAAACAACCCTTACAGAGGTTCAATCCTTTCATTTCATAGTAATATCAATTTTGTTCAGCATAATTTAGTCAATGAATAATAATAATAAAAAAAACTAACTAAAAGAAAACTTCTACTGTGGAGCCATAAGGTTTATTTAGTCTCTGGCCAGTCTAGAAAGAGAAGACATGGGGAGGGCAGACTGCACTGTCCCAGCTCTAGGAGCCAGCTGCACCCTGTCCACAGAGCGAGCTGTCACAAATGCACCTAAAGTTCTTAAAAGACCAAAAGAGGCACCGCTCTTTTGGGTGGGAATACCAGCTACACCTGGAGCCTGCTGATCAGAGGGCTACAGATGGCCAGGCTAGCACCCCACGGCCAACTAGAGAAGGCCTGAGCATCCCTGGCAGGGACCCTAGAAACTCTGGGTGGGCCCCTCACTGAGTTCCACTGGAAGCAGCATACGAGCCAGTTTTCAAAACACTATGCTCTTGCCACCGTGGCTGCAATTTTTGCATATTTGACAGCAGCACCCTGGCCTGGTCTTTCAGAAGAGCACAGGAAATTCCAACCTAAAGTTTTCTGTGTCTGTACCAACTCCTCAGTGCGAGACATTTCTCTAACTTTTTAATACCATGACTATTATAGAGCTCCTTCGACCACTTAACAGCAAATTGAACATAAAAGGAGTAAAACCACACTACTTTCCATCTTTATTAATCTCCAATACAATCCCGTGGACTAACGGTCACCTTTGAATTAGTAATTGCACTGAGATAAATTATTGTTGTCCTTTGGCTTCCCTCAGTTTTTACACAGGTAATTACAGACACACGTATATTAATATAGGCACAAGGCGAGAGTTTCTGCACCTGCTCTATTTATTTAATCTTGATTGCTGGCTTTTTTCAATGTACACAATCACTGATTGAATCTCTATGTAATTTCCTACCCCCACTACTTTCAGAAAAACAAAATGAAGATAAAAAGTAAATCAGGGGAAAACTACCAGGCGACTATTTCCAACAACAGATGACTCAACTAGCACCTGAGAATTTGTTGTACTTGTGTGTACTAAGGTTCTGAACTTCCTGTTTCAATAAAATACCAAACAAGTTGTGTTTCCTTTATAAATAAGCTATTACATCAAGCCCTGTTCCTATAATTTCAGCTTTTTGTCTCCATTCCAACATTTTCTTTGGCAAATGTAGAAACATTCTAATTAAAGTGGAGAGGAAAACAAGCATCATTCATCACGACGAGAATAATGCACAAAAGAACATCCTCGTTTTTTTCATTCTTTCACTAAGTTATGCTCTACTTTAAACAGTTTGGGGACTGGCGTCATGCCGTCCCTGACTAATTCCTAGGTAATGGCTTAAAGTAAGCCTGAGTCACTTGAAGAAAAATTCCACAGGTATCAATAATTCCTGTCACAAGCTTAACATTCTCTTAAAAATATCCTTCCGGTCCCGAGAGGAAGGCATTCCTTTTAGGTAATCACGTAACAACATCAAGGTTTCTTTTTAAGATTCTGAGATTAGGAGGAGGCCAGTTCTATTCATGACCATGGAAACCTGAGTTGAAAGGAATATTCTCAATTCCCAGGCCTGCTTTACAGTTTCACTTTTATCAAGACTTTTAGAAGCCGCAAATTCGCTCTAAGAAGTGCCATCTAAATAGGTTTAACGCTTTTTAAAATACATGGCTTAACTAATCAGAAATCATCATGATCTTTTCACTGCTTTACCTGTCTCCCTGGTTAAGGAGGGGTTGTGTGTGTGTCTGTGTGTGCACGCATGCAACTTAGTACTGAGTACAGAGGACAGCAAAAGCTCCCTTTCTTTTAACTGAAAAGCAATGTATTTTGGAAAGTCACATTCTGCAGCGTGTCAAACTGGAAGCTGAGGCAACCAGACGCCATCAGTTCTCTGAAGTGCAGGCTTCCCAGACCTCTGCAGGGGGGGTCTCAGCTCTTTTCATCACCACCCCCTGGAGGGACAGCCCCTAGGCTGGTCCTTCTCTGAGTGAGAAGCCAGGCGGCACTGACAGTGCCCCCATGTCTGTTCTGCAGCCGCCTGCAGACCCAGGGCACACACAAGGGCAGGTGCTTGCTTGAGCAGGGGGTGTGTTGGGGAAACAATGATTGCCTTTTCAAAAAGTTTCTGAATGTTCAGGGAGAAAGGCTGCTACACACCTGTCAAGAAGGGTTTTTTGGGGCACACGTCTCCCAGCCTACTCCTTGCCTTGCGGAGCTGTCCTCTCAGCTGCTGGCATGGTGGGCCTGGCCACCTGCATGTCTCCCCCACCCATGGCACCCCTTTCTTCTCTCCCCCTGTGTGAGGCTGAGAACCGAGCTCGGCCCTCTTACAGGCTCTATCTCTGGTTTCAGGGGCTTCTGCTTCCCGACCTCTCCATTCCCTGCACGAATTCTGCTCCTGACTGTGGGATTCTGAAAGCTGCCCCGCATCCTGTCGTGTTGCTTGCTGCACCTGCTCTACAGAGCTCCTTGCCCAGCCTGGATCCATTTTCCCTGCTGCGAGTCCCTCTTAGTCACCCCGTTGAGCCTTTGCATCCCAGAACCATTCCCTCCTCTCCTCCCTCCTGCCCCATGGCCAGTTTCTGTGTCTGGGAATAGTCTCATCCCACTGTGAGGCACTCAAGTGTAATTAAGCACATGCAGATATGCTTACCTCATGTCAACTGGAAAAGGACAACAGCATCTGGAAACGTAGCCATTTATTCAGCAAACACTGACCCGCACTTACTCACTGGAAGGCTCTAGTCAAGTGCTGGGGCAGAAAGACCATCAAGCAGGGGTATGTCCTTGCCTTCAGGAGCCAGAAGATGTGAGCACCCACCGCACACCAGGAATGGACAGAGTAGGATAGAGACATGGACTCCTCCTCACTCCCTTCCCAGCCACGATGAGCGCTCAGTTAGCTCGGTTCTCTCATCCAGCAGAACTCTGGGCAGGGCTGGGTGAATGTTCTAGACCAGGAGTGAGCTGTTTTTCACCGTCTTTTATTTTTGCACCATCTCCGGGGTTTCCAGTGCACTTGGCACAAGCACATAAAGCCCATCTTATGAGGCAGGTTGGCCACCTGAGGCCAAAGTAACTGATCTGCATTAGAGTCTATGTTCCAGCCTTGTTGTTAAGGAATCTCCTTCCCGATGTCTGACGCCTTCCTGAGGCATAACAGGACAACGGGAGCAAGCTCTGTGTCTTGCCTGTTTCCTTTCTTTCATTACTGCCACAGGTGGGAGCTAGTCAGCTGAGACCCACAGCCCAAGAAAACCATCAGAATACCTTCCAATATCCTTTTCACGTAGATGAAAAATGTGTTACTTGCGGCTTGTTCTTTTCAGCGTGGATAAGCACAGGTAAAAGTGGGACTCCAGGAAGGTGTGCTCAATGCACGTGAAAACTGTTTTGAAGGATGCAGAAACATATTTTTTTTGTATAAATAAATAAATAAATAAAGAGGAACTTTTCCATGGGACCATTATTAATTTATTTCTTAAATTCTTCATCTTTCACAGACTCCTTTTCCTCCATCTCTTCACACTCACTCATGGCTCCAACGGGACAGTCTGGCGCAGTGCACCCTGACCTTGCTGCAGACCCCTCTTCCACGGCTGCATCTCATTTTCCTCCACAGCACGCGCCCTGCGCATTCTCCCCACTCATTCGTTCTTGCCCGTCTCCTCCCTAGCACGCAGTCTCCTGGTGGGCAGGGTCCTTGCCGCTTTGCGTGCCCGACTACCCTAAGTGCCTCTCATAGAGCGGGTGTTTGGTACAAGCTCTTGACTCCACGAATCCTTCTCCTTCACTGATGGGGGACACGGATCCGAAAGATAAAGCAACTTGTGTAAAGTCAGTAAGTTAGTTAGCAACAGACTCGATCTGAAGTCAGGAAGGTAGTTATCAGCAAAAGACTCGACCACAACTCCTGTTCTTGACAATTGTATTGTCTTAAGGATTTACAAAAGTTTCTTTTGTTAACATATAAGTCAAAAGTAGTCGAGAAAAACTTCAATCTTAAAGAAAGTTTAAAACCTCTGTATAGCCCTGGAGGAGAGGGAGCTAAAATAATCTCTCTTCTACCCTTTAAACCAGGTCCTTCTGGAGCCTGATTCTCTGACACCCAGAGAGGGGCTGTCACCATCGTAGACATGAGAGATGGCGGTGCCCAACATCCTCTTCCCCTGCAAGATAAGACAATACTGAGGTTCCTCTAGTGTCACTACTGTCTTCTACAGAAAAAAGGCCAGTCGGTGACCTACGGACGAGAGCAGGCTTTGAGTCCGGACTCCCCCAGCAACACGGATGGAGGAGATCTCGGTAGTGGCCTAGGACTTCCATGCAGGGCCCATGAGTGAGTCTTTTGGAAAGATTAACATGGTCCAAGGGAGTGGAAGCCCTTTGCGTCCTATCCCTGTGCTAGACTGCGAAGAAAACACTGGTAAAATTCCACAGCGGCGACTGCCATGGTCACAAGGTGCTCTGGGTCAAACACTCGTCCCACTCTGTGACCCGGCTCACGTGCACTGCTGAATGTTCTTAAAACAGAGAACTTTTTACCATAGATACTCTCCAGGATCCTGCACGAGGAACACGCCTGGTCAGGGCCGACATGGGCATGTGGGGAGAGTCTGCGGGAGGCCAGGGCCGCACCCCAGCTCCTCAGCACCCTCCTGCTCAAATGCAGCCTGGCCTGGACAGCCACCTGTCAAAGCACCGACGTTGAGAAAACGTGGGCCTGGGAAAACCCAGGGGGGACACGGAAGGAAGGAGATGGCAGGGAAGACATCTGCAGGTCATCACCTATCTTCCCTCCAGGCTTCTGTCTGCCTGAAAGTTGACTGCAGTGACCAGCTGGGGCCCTTGTGACTGAAGAGATGGCCACTTTTGCATAAGAAGGAAGAAAGGAACAGAGGTCTGCTTTCGAAGGGCTGTCTCCCTGGGAGAAGTCCTGTGCAAGAATCT